ATAATATCCCTGTGTGTGTGTGTGTGTGTGTGTGTGTGTGTGTGTGTGTGTGAGAGAGAGAGAGAGAGAGAGAGAGAGACAGACAGACAGACAGACAGACAGACAGACAGACAGGGAGAGAGAGATATCACATTTTCTTTATCCATTCATCCATCGGTGGACACTTAGATTGTTTCCATGTCTTGGCAATTGTAAATAATGCTGCAGTTAACATGGAGATGACAAATATTTTTTCAAGATAGTGATTTCATTTCTTTCAGATAGATACCCAGAAGTGGAATTGTTGGATCATAAGGGAGTTCTATTTAAAACAATTTGAGGAACCTTCAAAGTGTTTTCCATAGTGGCTCCACCAATTTACATTCCCACCAACAACAGTACAAAAGTATTCCCTTTTCTCCACATTCACACCAACACTTGTTATTTCTTCTTTTTGATGACAGCAATTCTAACAGGTGTAAGGTGATATCTCATTGTGGTTTTGATTTGCATTTCCCTGGTAATTAGTGTTGTTGAGCACCTTTTCATGTACCTGTTGGCAGTTTGTATAACTTCTTGAACACATTTTTGTTCAGATAAAGATATTTATTGTAATGTTATTTTTATAGCAAAAAATCAGAAGACTTCTAAATATCAAAAAATAGAGGTTTAGTTAAATAAATTACACATATATACTATGGAATATTATAACTATACAAAACATTTTAAAATATATTATTCACATGATAAGATAGTCATAAAATTTTTAAGTGATAAAGGCATGTTAAAATAGTAAGCATATATAGTAAGATTTTTTTATGTATTAAAATTTTCTTGAATTTGCATGTGTCACATTTAGAAAAAATTGTTAGAATATACATCAATGATTGCAGTGACCTCCTAATATGTCTACGTACCACTAGTCCCAAAATTCTCAAATCCATCCCCCCCACTGCTATTGAATTTAGAATCTCCCAGCAACTATTTGATTACATATCAGTCTCCTTTGCTATGTATATGTAGTAATTCTAATCAGATTTAACACAATTATTGCATTAGTAGAGATCATTCTTTGATAAAAGATAAAACTGGCATTTAATAACCGTAGCAAAAACACAACATAACTGGTGACTTCTTTTAATGTTGAAGTTGTTTTATACACACATACAAATAGAAGTTTGTAAAATTTTAAGAAGATTCAATCTCTTTAGTACCTTACTAACCATGTTAAGTACTAAGTACTCTTAAAAATACAGTGATAGTAAAAAGATAATCATTAGCCTGTCTTTGATTTACTAAAAAGTTAGTTTTCAGTCTCAAAACAAGTTATTTTGAAATAATTTATTTTGAAAACTCCCATTTTTATGAAATGTCAAATTGCCACATTTATTTCCTTGACTGTAATGAAATTTAAATCAAGGTAGGACCAGGAGACCAGACCAGGCCATGTACAAGAGTCATGTTCAAGTTAACTTTTTTTCATAGTGCTAAAAGTATCATTGTGACAGTATTCATTCCATGAAGAGAAGGTTAGTTGTTTCATTATGTCCTTAGGAAATATTATAGCATATACATTTAAGTTTAAGGCTCTGATATCCAGTGTAGTAAGAGACTTATTTTGCCTTATTTGGGGTAATATGTCTGAACTTAAAACATTTTGAGTTTTAATGCAAAATGACCTAGCACATAACTATATATAAGTGAGTCACATGATAGTTAGGAACTTTTGGAATATTTTATTTTATTCTGTCTATCCTTAAATGCCCAGTTCTATTTAAAATCAAAGCAATAATACAAATACAGTGATTGTTAATGATACTTCAACTTTGACTGTTCAACTTGTTAAATCTTGTGGTACTGGTAGAATATATGAAGACCCTTAAAATTATAGAATTTCAGAGTTGGATAGGAACTTGGAGTCCCTCAAATCCAAACCTCTGGCCAATTTACCTCAAAAGATTGAGATAGCTTGAGATACTATTTGTGAATAACTACTTATCTAGTGACTAGATAGCTATATTCCTCTAATTAAAATTCTTTTTCATCTATTTAACAACTCTAGTGAATAGATAGATTAGCCATATTTTTAAACAGGCTTCCATTTTAAATAATCTGTAGAAGAGTGGCCTTTGCATAATGTATGAGTTACCACATTTTGTAATTTATTGCAATGGTGACTCAAAATTGCAAGCATTTTATTTTTGTGATCCACATTTTGTTCCTAAATAGAGACATACAGGTCTTCAATAATTGTAATTATCACATTTTATGACCTTATTTATGACTATAAAATGCTATAAGAAAGAAAAAACAAAAGATTGAAAAGAACAAATACACTAATGGTGAAGTGTTTAATATGTCTTTGGTACTTGGCACACATAACACTTCATCATTGTATCATTCATCAAACCTATTCTAATCTATGTTGTTGTGTTTTTTGTTTGTTTGTTCTTTAACCAAGTAAGGGTGTTTAAAGTTAGGCTTTATTACCCAGCTAAGTGATCTAGGAATCATTATAGGTAGAATGTTACTTTAGAGGAATAAAATGTAGACACAGCTGGAAAGCAGTACCAGAAACTGCAAAGTTTTATTTCAGACGTGAACCATAAAGAAGTGAAGCTATGTAATTATGTTCAAAGCAAAAGAACCACTCTGTGATCTGTGAAAGCTTAGATGGCAAAGTAATAAAATTAGAACTGGTGAAGTTTCTATGACCATGAGGAAAATCCAATTTTTTTCCTAAATAAATTATACATTAATTTTGTCCACCTTTGGAATCCACCAATGATTATCATAGGTAGGAAGCTAATTAAAGAATGCAATACATCAGATTTTAATTGCTATTATCTGTTAATTTTTCAAATTAAAACATAAAATTCCAAATGTATCAAAAACATCATTACCACCAACACTATTATCAACAAGCACTTACTATGTGCTTTTTGGGAGATCAATAAAGGATTTCAGAGCCCCAAGAGTAATTAGGTGGAAAAATCTAATGGCACTTAGTACTCTTTTATCTCATATAGTAGAACTATTTCACAGATAAGGAAACTGATGTATAAAATAATTTTTCTAAATTTATTCAGCTAGTAAACAGGTTGAGCTGGAATCCACATGGGAATCCAAATGCCATGTTTTTACTCATTGCATCACCAAATTAAGTCACAGAATATTCTTTTTGAAAAGTTTCAAGGATACATTGAAATATTGATTTCAATAGCCTGAGAGTTCCACCTCATATGTAAGCACGGGATCAGACAACCACAGTTCCCTTTTTATACCAGTTAACCTGTTGTGTTATGATTTCAAGATGTGAGTAAGGATTTAAGGCTTGGAATTTGGCAGATCTGTTTGGGGATTACTCAAGGATATTTATTACATGTTTCAGGAACAGCATCTGTTGCAGTCGCTGGTATTCTTGCAGCTCTTCGAATAACCAAGAACAAACTGTCGGATCAAACAATACTATTCCAAGGAGCTGGAGAGGTACCTGCCTTATATAATACTTATGTTCTCCCAAACTTATGAACATAGAATTCATTTTAATTATTCATTAATTTGAAGTTTGAGGTAGTCTTTAAAATTTTTACTTTACTGTAACTATAGGTTTTATTGAAAGATTCACAAATTAATTATTGAATCATATTAATTTTTCATATAAGACTTTAGTATAGAGGTATAGAGAAATTTTCACAGTTTTAAATTGGTAAGATTATCAAATTTTGCCATACGTTTTTGTTATCATATTTAAAGTGCCATGCAATAACAACATTTTCAATATATGCTTATATTTCAAAGCCTTTAAGAAATATTTAAGCATTGTATCGGATGCCAATTTTTAGTATCCTCCAGTGTCACATACAAAAGTTTTCTTAATTTGACTCACCATTCAGTGTGCACATATATAACCATATACAAGTTTTTAAGAAAAAAAATATTTTGAATTAGAAAATCATTGTGCATTATAACACACAAAAGAACCAAAACATTTGAAATTGTTGGAAGGAGATGGCAGCAAGACAAAATTATGCTGTTTTCTGTTCTTTTTTTATAAGTTAATCATTTGAAAGAAGAAAAGTAGACTCCAGTAATAATTCACCCCCAGAATAGAAATTAAAATGTCAATTGAGTTGAGCTACTCATGAGAAACTGCCAAAATCTGTTTAGAATTGTAGAATGTAACAAATGGAGAAATACTCTGTGGTTGTATGTATTTTAAGAAGCTTTAAATTTTCATATTTAATATGATTATGAATAAATATGTTACACTAGTCAAAATTGTGTATATTGTTTTGGTTTTGATTTCTCTTATTCTTAAAATAAAACAAACTATATGAAGCTAGAACTTAAATACCAAGATTATAGACGTGTGAAAATATTCAGAATATAAATCACAAATTCATTTTCACGTTAAAATAAAGATCAGGCTATATAATAGTTCATTAAAACTTGAGCTTTTTATTTCTGTGGATTATTACATGCTGTACTTAATTTTAGTAAACTTTTTTGAATTTTCAAAGGATTTTATTGAATGGCACAGGCCAGTTCTTGATACTCAGTAGGACGGAAGTGTTCACGGTTGGATGATTCAAAACTGGCACTCACTTGTCCCTGATAAGTTTTGAAAATTCACAGATTAGGACAAAGTTTATCAAATACCAAAGAAGTTCATTCCTTTAATCTTGCAAGAAATTTCACAGTACTTTCTTTGTCCATATTGAGAGTAAGTGAATGCTTGGGGACACAGATTTTATGTGTTTTATTTTGTTGCCTAATTGGTCAAGTTCCCATCCAAATGACCAGGCTTCCTTTTCCAAATTCAATTAGAGAAGCTTGAACTAACAATAAACAATATAGTCTAATAAGCAGTGTTGACCAGTTCATTATTTTAAGCTCAATATTTTCTTGTTGGAGCAAGTCTTAATTGTATTAACTGGATTAAATATACTGACAATCAAAGATATCACTGGTTTATCTGTGGCTAAATAGGAAGCCACGTAATAGTGGTTCTATTGCAATAAGAAGAGTAAACATTAGGTTGTTGGAAAAGTCATGACGCATTTTTGCAACAAAAAACATAGAAAAAAATATGTCATGACTTTTCCGACAACCCAATAATTGTCCTTTAGCTTAACCCAAATATGACAAAAATACTTTGCTTCCTGTCAGTAGACAGGGCCATTTTGTACTTCCTTATTAACAAAGACAAAATAGGGTAATTGTAACCCTTGATAATTATTATATGGAACAACTTAAAAAAATTTTGTTTTATAACCTCTTTCTCAGGCTGCCTTAGGGATTGCACACCTGATTATTATGGCAATGGAAAAAGAAGGTTTACCAAAGGAGAAAGCCATAAAAAAGATATGGTTGGTTGACTCAAAAGGATTGATAGTTAAGGTAAGAACATGTTCATTTTAACCAGAATAAAAATCAATATGTCATTCTGGATGCTCCTCTCAAAAACTACTACTATTTCCACCTACCCCACCCCAACATTGTGTGAAAAGAGTAGCCATTATGTATGAATGACCATGTCATACAGTAATACTGATACTTCTTTGAATAAAGAAGAAAACTATTGCTCAGCTATAGAATCCATCTGTGGTGTGAGCAGGCCCTTACCACTCTATGGGTTGTCAGTCCACTTGAATTGGTTTAGTTTCTAAGCAAGGCAATTTGATACTGATGCAGATGAAGCACCGAGGCATAGCTCCTTTTTAAAGGGCTATCTGTCAAATTGCACACTAGCTAGAAAGAAAAGGGAAAAAATGAAATAGCTTCTGTTACCTTTAACTTTCTCTCAACCAAATTCTTGAGGGTTTGAATGGGAATTTCTGAGAAGGGCTTTAGTAAATGGCCTGTTTCGGCATTAGCTTACTGAAGGGTCCATTTCCCCACTTTAATAGAGATGATAGCACCAACTTCATGGGGTTGTAGTGAGAACCAAGTAAGACGAGGTAAGTAACCATGTTGCTGCACAATTGTAAGGCATTATTATTACTTATGCCATCGGTGCCCATCGGTCACTCTAACTTAAACTGCTAGAAAATACATGTAAGTCCTCTTTCCACATGAAGATGAATTTTAAAAATAACCAGTAATAAGCAGTGTCTTTGGGAATTGAGTATAAAAACAAATGTGAATGTGTGCAAACTTTCTGGAATACTGGTTTATGTGTATCTTAGAGCCTTTAAAAGTTTATGCTTCTGATCCAATAGTTTTTGTTGTAAGAATCTATCCTATAGAAATAGAGATGTTTACAGTGTTTTATGTATAAGAATGTTATCACAGCATTATTTACAATACTGATATGTTTTATCATACATTAATTATAGTAATGATATGTTATACTTACCTAAATAATGGATAATTGTGAAATAAATTCTGGAATAGCCACATGAGTATAATATACAGACTTAAAATGGTTTTCAAAGAACTATAAATAACATTATAATATAATGTTAGGTGAAAAAAGGAAAACACCATATTATATATAACTATTTTGTTAAAAATTGAGTTGCATATAAAAGTCATAGAAGGAAATGTGTCAAATACATATTACCTTAGAACTTAAAAAAAAAATTTAGTACCTTTCTGTATATTCCAAATTCTCCTTAGTAATTGTGTTTCTGTAAAGCCAGAAAAATGTTTGATTTTTAAAATTAATATAGATAGATAGATTTTGCCTTAAATGAAGAAAAAGTATGTGTATAACGTTTTGTAGCAAATATGTATCTATACAGCAGTGAAATAAGACAGAAAGCACTTTTACAACATCTTTTGAGAACCAAATAATAATAATTTTATTAACTTTCAATTTAGTTGTTTATAATATGTAAAAAAAACCCAAAGTTTTAAATTTCTTGGCTTAAAAATTGCTATTGCTTTGAAGAATCAGTATAACTATAAAAAGTTGTACATTGTGGTCACATGACAAATACTGTGGTCATGAAATAATAACGTTTGCTGAGTGGAATCAACTATGGATTAGGCATTGTACTAGACTCTGCGGGGCAGAATTAAGCCCTTAATCTCAGAAAGCTCACACTTTACTGGGGAAAACTGAAAAAGACAGGTGTTACATGTCTATATGAAAATGTCATAGAAATATGTCCTTGATGCCAGGGGTGCACAGAGGTTATACTTCCAATTTCACTAAAGAGAAAAATAGGACTACTGAGGAAAGTTCTGAGATATGGTATCTTTCAGCTAAGTTTGAAAGGAGGAATTAGGAGTTTATCTGGAGTCTCTGTAAACGTCTTAAACTTCTTATATCCAAAACTGAGGTAAAGGAGGTAGAGTGGCAAGTTCACACGAGATTGTGATTGAAGCCAAGGATCATATCTTTCATCTCTCTATATCTTCAAAGTCCTCCATAGTGTCTAGTACATAAATGGCAATAGATATTTTGTTGAGAAATGAATTAATGAATGGCCTTCTAGGAAGAAGATAAGTGTTTGCAAAAGAAAATAGTTTCATATAAGGTTCGAAAGGAAGCAGATGACAGGTGATGAAGGTGCTTTCTAAATCCTGAAAATGAGCAACTGAAGAAACTTACTCGTATGCAGAGGAGGTTTGCCTCTGGTCACTCTCCTGGTATTATGGAGGATGGATTGAAATGAGGTGAAACTGAGAAAAGGAAACTCATTGCAAAGTTGTTGCAATCATACAGATAAAAATTAGTGGGGGCCTGAAATAAAACAATGACTTACAGGGGTGAGTGAAAGAAGTTTGATTCAGTAGTTATTTAGGATGTAGGGTTATTAGCATACTTATTAACTGATTTAATTTGGAGGGAGGAGTAGGATCAAGGAGAGGAAGGAATCTAGCAGGACTCCTTGGGTGTTTAGATAATTGATGTGTCCATTAATGTAGAAAAGGAATAAAGAATACACATTTCAGGGAAAGATAATGACATCAGTTTGGACATAGCAAGTTTAAGGTGTCTGTGGAGAACTCAGATGGAGATGTCCCCATGGTAGTTGGAGATATTAATACAAGAGTGAGCCTCAGCATAAGGTTCTGGGCTCCTGGAGATAGAGGTTTGGGGGTCATCAGCATGTAAATAGTGGGAGCCGTGGAAAAGCTATACAAATTGTGCTGTGCTTAGGAATGTAATATATTCAAAAATTCAAAAAAAAAGTGAAAGTCTATGACTGTGGCTTTCTTTTGTGGTTTCTAGTGACTTTTTTAATGTAAAATCTTCACCAAAATAGTATAAATTTTAGCATCTCAAATAACTTGAACATAGACTTACTGAACTGAGAATTCAAATTCCATAGATTGCAATACTCGAAATAACTGTGAAATTGTTGGCTAGACCTATCAGTCACTCTTACTTCATGTCTTTTACTTGCCAAAATAAAGAACTGCATATATTTTGCTTGCCAGGGTAAATAAACTTACATTTTAGAGGTTGTTATATATGTAATAGCTTGTGCACTATTTAATATAAAAGAAACATATGAAGCTTCAATTAACCACTTTTTTCTTTCATGTTTTTAAAGTCAAAGTTATTGTGCTGGTTTTTGTTGCGGAACTAATAAATCTTAGAATAACCAGTAAGTTAGTATAATCTTGCCTTCAAATTTACATGATTTTTGTGTTTATTATAATAATTTTAATTAATTAAAATTATTAAAATAATTATTTTGTTAATTTTATTAACTTGCAATGTAATTGTTTATAGTATGTAAAAAAATGTAATTTTTTTTTTTTTTTTTAGCTGAGCCATCCTGCCACCTGTTGGCAGCTCAGCGGCTGCTCAGCTCTGGCTGGGACTCGAACCGCTGTTGCTCAGAGTTCAAACTCTTGAGCAAGCTCTTAACCAACCAACTGAGCCACTCAGCCAGCCCCAAATCGTAAAGTTTTAAATAAATATTTTTATTAGTCAAACTCCTTCACTTTTTTTGTTTTTAATTTTTTTATTGTTAGTGTCAGATGTACAGAACAATGCAATAGTTATCCTTTTCACCCTCACAAAATAACAACCCCCCTCCCCATCTATTGCTCTCCCACCTCCAATATCATGCTTATCTATGGAGTTAGCTCATTTATGGAGTTATATCATCAGACTAGTTAAGTATTATTCTAACATATTTTCTGGTTTTAGTTTTCATTTTCAACATCAACATCTGTAGCATTTTGCATCATTTACCTCATCCATATGTATAATGGAATGAGTTTATGCTATAAATATCAATATTTTAAATAATTCATCAATATCAGTAAGGTTGATTGAAATTGATTATTTGGTCTCTGATAATACTTAAACATCTTAGTTTAGCATTTTATAGCAAGAAAAATTACTTGTTTAGCCAACTAATATTAATACATTTTACTATAAACAAGCTGATATTTTGTTTATAAGAAATCCTTCCAAAATAAAAATTAGAGGGAGAATAAATACAGTAAAAAGGGATAAAAAAGGAACATTGCCAGCATGACTAGTATTTGTATTTCACAATGATTATTTGGAGCATTTCCATAGTGGACGAGAAGCCACAAAACAAACTGATCCAGACTTAATGTATTCCTTAAGTAAATACATTCTTGCCTTTAGTAATAAACCAAATCAATGCTAAGACAGAAAACTCAAAATAAAAAGTAGGGTAGTAATAGATATGAAGGATTGACTTCATCTAACCCAGAATAAGACTATAGAATTTTGTTTTGATTTTAGTTTTATTTTGTTCTGTTTTAAAAAATTGTTTTGAATTAGTTTATTTTCTTTTACTGTTTTACATTTACATTTTGCTTTATAGTTAAATGGTTCCTATAGAAAGAGATAGTGACTAAAGGTATTTTATACGCTGTAAAAGTAGTTTTGAGGATACAGTTACTTCCTTCCTGAGACCTTAACCTTTAAGTCTAGGACTTGAAACTCCATGCTGTATAGAAAAAGTTTGCCTTTCCTCTGGGATATTATCAGAGTTTCAGCCAGTGATGCTATCACCACCTTGAGTGATGATTAATACATTTCACACACTGTGGCTTAAAAAAAAAAAATTAACTCCTAAGAGATTTTGAAGCTTGGTGAAAAGTATCTGGCTTGATTGTGTTTTTTCTCCCTCTTTTCCATTTCATATGGAATATGATCAGTGTATATGTATGTATTAGAATGAGCAGAGACAAAAGATTATGTACATGAGTCTTTTAGACAGCCACAAAATTTTGGATATTGATTCTTACCAATACAAAATTAAATATTGATGGAGTTAACTACCTATTGCCTTAAACTATGACCATTCTGCACCCTTTGTGCTCTAGCATGGGCAATATTTGGTTGTCGGAAAAGTCATGATGTATTTTTTCTATGTTTTTCATTGCAAAAATGCGTCATGACTTTTCCAATAACCTAATACTTTTGTCATATCATTTATCTTCTTTTAATATGT